CCTCCTCCTCCTCCTCCTCCTTCTTCTTCTTCTTCTTCTTCTTCTTCTTCTTCTTCCTCCTCCCCTTCCTCCCCTTCGTCCTCCCTCCTTCCTCCTTTGTCTTCTCCTCGTCCTTCCTCCTGTTCTTCTTTTCCTCCTTTTATCTCATTCCTCTTCTCCTCCTCCATCTTTGCCCCCCCTTCTTACCATCCCCCTTTTGTCCTTCTTTCTCCTCCCTCGTTCTCAGTCTGTTCCCGATGTATATCATCCATTTGCTCTTTGTGCTGCAATCCAGGATGATTGCTCTCCACAGCCGTAATCGGTCTTGCATCCTCTGTTTTTCCTCTTTTTTTTTTTTTCAAAGGAAGGAGCAGTTTCATTATCATCAAAGGCTGGGGGCCGGGAATCCCTCCTCTGTTTTCTATTTTGCAGTCTTCTTTAATCCATTTCATAGCGTGCATGACACAGGCTGATCATTTTGTTTCCCGGCAGCGGGCCGAATTGATGAGCCAGCATGAGTTTGTGGTTGCAGGAATGGGAGTTAGCGGAGAACCTTCGCGGGGAACTAGAGTATCAGACCAGGTGAGTGGGATCCACTCCTCCTTTTCCTCCTCCTCACATGTGTTGTTTGTTATTTGTCCGCTGCCATTACGGGGGCGGAGATTGTTCAGTAGTAGTAAATGTAAGGAAACCGCACGGGAGAAGCTCAAATTACCCCCACAATGAACTCTCGTGACCGGCATGCATATGGCGACCAGGCAATTAGCAGAAATGACAAAGCAATGATCACACTGGCATAAGAACTGATAGTGAAATGACAAAGCAATGATGACACTGGCACACAAACCGACAATGTTGAGGGCTCTCGATGATGAAAAGCCCCCATGAAATTAGGGCGGCACCGAATGGACTCCAGGAAATTAGGTCACTATCGAATGGAGTCTTGGTGGAATTAACCACTTCATGTTTGCAACTCCTTTTCATCCAACTCGATCGAATGAGATTGAACTGGTGCCACCGCCACTTGTGGCCTTGTACTCTCGCCCCTCCACGACAATACAACAACAGTAATTGTTCTCTGCGCTCCGTCGTCTCTCTATCAGCCAATTTGATCATCTACTTGATTCTCTGCCTGAGCGTAAACGATTCCAATGTTGAATTTAGAGTGCTGCAGAGTACAATGCTGCTCCCACTGGTGCCTCACTGAAGAATTTGCCACGCCGGAGCTCTTCTTGGTGAACACCAGGTCTGTCCCTTGCTGTCGCATACCGTAACAGTACAGACCAGAACAAGAACCGACCTCTCTCACATCGTACAAGATAGCGCAGCGGAAGGCTAATATACCAATGATCCGAACAATCAATGTTGCAATGCAGACCAACATACATCATCATCATCCCATGGTGTGAAGGGGCCTGGCGCTCACACAGGAAGAATGCGCCAGTCCCCAACCGTACACAGACGAAGAAGAGGGGGGTTATCTGAAGAAGAGGGGAAGATGGGAATGTCGTCAACACCAAGTCTTCGGTACAGGTCCCAAATAAGCCCTCGTCCAATGTCTCAATCCCAATGTGGAGTCTGGATCCAAATGTCGTCAAGTCCCAACGTCACCAATCTCTCTCTCTCTCGTAGTCTGCAGATACTGAGAAGTTAGGTAGCGAGAGGGTGAGGGAGAGATGGTGGACTTAGAAGAGGAAGAAGAA